GATCAAGTTCCTTGGCATCAAATTCAGTCTAATTTTGAATACTTTTAACAATAGATACGTCAACATTTTTGGCTGTTTCTGTGTTTGACCACCCACACAGTAAAGCTTTTTTTCATCTCACTATCTAGTCAGATTTCCCAATATTGCTCACAACTATGGCCTTTCACTGTGCCACCTCTGTAGAGTCCAGCTTCACTTCTTCTGTAACTTCCCACCAGATAGCTGAGGACAGCAACAACATCCCCCCCTTAGCTCACTCTTCTAAGGCTGAAGAAATCCAGATCTCCCAGCCTGCCCTGCTAAGTCATGTTCTCAAGTCTCCTTCAGCATTAGACCATGCTTAGTTGAACACCTCTGCACAACCCTGCCCTCTCCTTTCACCATTCCCCAGCGCACACACAAGCTCTCTATTTTTAAGCGCGATCTGGAATCCATCCTCCACTATCTGGAGTGCAGTGCCAGAAAGCCGCTCGTGACGCAGGCTCTGTTTATAATTGTGCCCCTGGGTTTTCCTCTTATGAACAATGCACACAAAACACTTCCCTGCAAGGCTGCTCTGGACCAAGCAATGGCTTTCAAGCTCCAGGTATCCAGTTTCAGGTAAAAAAAAGATAAAAATTCAGAACCATGTCCTGTGGGGTCTGGCACGATCTCTCAAAGTGTTTATCTTACACACTACTGGTTACACCAATCAAAGAAATCACCTGTTGTGATTAGCTGCAGAAGCAGTGAGAGAAGTACACCGTTTGCTTCATTCCACATCTTTTTACGGGATTACACATCTATAACAATGAGCAGAAGATCTGGCTGTGAAATCACACACCCCCAAGGTCTCTTGGTCAAGGATGTAACATTAACAGTCCTCACTCCAGATCACTCAGGCAGGACACCCAAAGCCCAGGAGACCTTTAATGCTTTACAGCAGACTCTGTATTCATGCCTCCCACTGCAGGCACAGGGATGGCAACTTCCATCTCCAGATGCTTCAACTCTTTGACAGCCTCATGCCAAAGAGCTGTGGGAGCCCTGCTCTGTGGTTACTTGTTCCAAGGACAATACAGTAATAAAACAAAAAGCTACAAGACTGGGAATAGAATTTCTTAAGCGTTCTTACAGAGCACAGGACAGCTACAGATCTAATTTAACCAGAAATTAAACACCAGACTGCAAACTCAGGCTGATCTTGCATTGTTTGGTCCTACTGCTACAAAGGCAGAGTTATGCCTCTATTTTCTCCACCACGTTTGAGGTTTCTGGTGAGAGTCCTCTCAAAGAATGAGCCTCTTCTGAAAACAAACTAGCAAAAAAGCCCACTCTTAAATTTGTATTTCCCATAGAGAAAGGAACCAGGGCTTTACATTCATTTCTCCACAAGCTGAAGGACAACACATCCACACGCCAAGATGGCAATACCCAATTTGAAACCCCGGTAGAGGCAGTAAGAAGCCAGGTTTAACTTGGCGCACCCTCTCTCAACTCCAGCACTATTTGATCTACAGCAGAGGCAAAAAGATACTGAATAGAGAAGAGGGAAAGAAATACTTGCTAATACAGTGCAGGGAAGAAATAAATCATCTATTATAACAAAGAAGCATAACCGAAGCCAGAAAGCAAAAGCAAATTTGACTGAATAGTTGCAAAGAAGCCAATTATAAAGCCTATATTGGGGGGTGGAGGAAAATCAGCAATGCCCCCTGACTATATATCACAGCATAACTACACACTATATACGAAGACACCTGCACTATGCGTGCGCGCCAGTCCTGCAGACATAATAGCTAAACTCTCACATTTACAAGAGAGCAGCTACCCTCGTATTTCTGAGG